AGGTTCTTATTATAGCTAGTAATTTGCAGATGAACTGTCTGCCCAGATAAAAAACACGATAACCAAACTTTGCCAAAGGATCAAAGGATGTCATGTATCACCATTTCACCATAAGAATAAATGTATCTTTCAAAATAACAAAATGGCTGCAGAATTTGAATAGTACCTAATTTTTGAGACTTGAAAAATTCAAAAGGCACCCAAATGTCTAAAGTGGTGTAGGTAGGGTAAAAATTTACATTTCTTTTTTTAAAATGTCACTTAAAAACTTAAATTAACTGCAATTCATATTTGCAGCTTTTTTCCCCACAAGGTATTATATCTGGCAGACATATACCAGAAATTTCTCCATACCAGTTAAGGGCTCCACAAGACAATGCCAATAAAGACATCACAGTTCACCTTGGTCATGGTGTATTTGGTAGTTGTCAAAAAAAGTATTACAAGGGAATTCCAGTAGCTGTGAAGGAGTACAATAACCTATCTTCTACTAAGGATATTCAACGTGAAGCAGATGTAATGGCAAGATGTTCCCATCCATCTCTTCCTCACATCTTTGGAGTCAATGTAACACAAAAACCTTACTTTCTGGTTTCCTATTTCTATGGTATTAACAACCAGACTTGTACTTTGTACAGTGCATTATACCATCCCACCATACCCTTCACAAAATATTGTGCTGGAAAGATTATGTTTGAACTGTGCCAAGCTCTACAGCACCTTCACATGAAACAACTTCTCCATCGAGATATCAAAAGTGATAATATTCTCCTGACAATTCTGCACACAGGATTTCATCCCATGCTCATTGATTTTGGCAAGTCCATTAAAGTATCTGAAGCTACTTCCAAAAGGAAGAGTCTGAGTGCACATGAACAGGATGGCTACCGTAAAAAGTACAGACACATTGCTCCTGAAATTATTCTTGGCCAGCCACCATCATTTGCTTCCGATTTATTTTCATTTGGTGTAGTCATGTCTGATATCAGTGCCAACATTCCTTGTGAAAATTGCTTTCTTGAAGGAAAAAGGAAATGCTTAGAAGAAGATCCCAAATTAAGATGTTCGATTGCGTACCTTCTCAATCAGCTTGAAAGAAATGTATCCCTTTGCAAAAAGTGAAAGCAGTTCCCAGCTGATAATTATGTATAGTATGGCCAAATTCAATGCTCCATTCATAAGCTATAAAATAGTAATTATGACAGCAGAGACCAGACAGTCGAAATGTTGCAAAGTGCACCTGACAGGCAGTTTCAGTTTGTTATTGTATTCACGCTACTGGGTTTTCAAAGTGCATTCATTTTTCGGAAACTCACTGCAAAGATGTAGTCATCTTTTGGTAGCCAGTGAAAACAATAACATCTACACAAGGCCTTTCACAATAATATGAGGAATGCCTACATGTACAATGTACAATGATCACTTTCCTACAACTACTCAAAGGGTTCACATTTAAAAAAAAAATGTACATCATGAATTAAGAATTAAGATAAAAACTGACTAGCAGCTGTTGGACCTTTGTCCAATGGCACTCTTGTGTTGTGTTAGACCCATAAGCCACTCTTTTTGTAACACTTCAAGGGTTATGTGCATGAAGGAGCTCTTATCCATAGAAAAAATCCACTGCCAAAGGATCATCTTCTTGCTATCTAAATAATATCAGTCAAAATGTCCAACCAAATTTAAATTAGTTCAACACAGCAGTGGCACACTGAGATGAGCCTAAAGTAGGTTAATTTACAATCAAAGCCAATAATTTCAACTTTGACCATTCAAGAGAAATTAATAGTTGTTTATATTCTTGCTGAGCACAGTTATTGGTCGTTATTGTCAAAGTGGCCACAAATACTGCATACACATAGCTTACAGGTCCCGCAGCTAATAAGAGAGGAAAAACGTCCTGGGTGAAAATGTCGTGCACATTCTATTAGTGAATGAAACTATTAATTATAGTGAACAGCAATACACTTACGTTCAATGAATTGATTGTTGAGCTCTGAGGTGAACAACAAACGCAAAAACCAAATCGGCAGTGCAAACAGAAATTGAACATCCAGAACGTGGCTGCGTAGGGTATGCGTATCGCTCAAGACTTAAAGAGGCTTTAAAACGTTTACGTGAATGCGTCCCGCACATATATGCAGTTCGCCATGCCACTTACTTTGCGTGTGAAAGATCGAAACGGCCATCCAATGCTACATTATTGATCTTTGTAAGAACAATTTAGGTTTCCGGTCTCGTACACAGAAAGGCCAAAAACTAGCAGCTGTATAAAATACTAAAAATCTTTAACTTGTCTTGACGGAATGGCCCGTATTTAACATAAAAAATCTTGAGAATCCGACGTCCAAACACCTAACACGACAAACGTGGAGTGCTACACGCGACACGTAAGAGAAAGAAGTCATATGACACCACTTTTAACCCCAGTTGCCACGCTACGGGTTAAGAGGTTTCGGGTGTCAGAAGGTCTCAAAAGCGTTTTAGAACCAGGCCTTAATCTACTTGAGT